TTATAGGATTTTTCCCTGGCTGGAGAGGATCTAAGGAATCAAAGACCTTGGTGGATAACCCTAATGCACATGCTGTAAGTGGGGACCAGTCAATAGAGGATGAGGGATCAAGTATTTCGTTTACTCAGGACCTCTATAAGCAATTCTTGGCATTTGCTAAAACCCAACAGATATTCCCTCAGTTATCTAGCTCAACAACCCAAACAGCAACCACCATTACTACAGGTATCTCCCTTTGTAATTTAACCTTCCCCAAACCCAAAACTGTTACCTAGATAATTGATACTGGGGCCACAGACCATATGGTATGTTTACCCACATTCTTATCTTCTATTGATTCCACCACAATCACAAATGTTAATTTACCAAATAGATCCCCTGTTCCAGTTAGCCATATTGGAAAAGTGATCAATTTCGTTTTTCCTACAGTCCTACTCTGTATTGGAAGGTATATGAATCAAAATATGAAAAGCATCAAAATGCATTTGTGTGAGGAATTCTATCAAACACAAGATTCGCAATAATTTCACCATAACAATCATTAAACTATATATAAATCCACAAAAAATAATACTAAAGTAAAAAAAATCTAGGAAATGAAATTAAACTTACCTACGTGAAACTATTTCATGTTATCAGATTCAATCGACAACTAGATGGAAAATGAAGTTGCACCATCACCTGATTCACCTTCTACTGAGTTTCAGCATAAATTATCCTCTAGTTTACAGTCCAGGATCGGCCCTGCCATTGAGTACCCCAGTCACCTGACTCACCTCCGTTGGATTTGCTCAAGATTTATCAAAAGATTTATTTGCACCACTTCGTGAACGGTGAACTAGAGGCCAAGATTGAAGATCCCAGCGGGTTGAACTTTGAAGCTATTTTGAGTTAGGGCTTGGGGCTGTATATGATCTCGTTTTTCAATTTAAACTGGTCTTTTTTTTAATAAAAATAATAATAATAATAATAATTGGACCAAAACGAGGCCCCCTATGGTCCTAGGCCTGAGGCGTGGGCCTCACTCGCCTCAGCCCAGGACCGGCCCTGTGCATAGATAAAATAGTGATAAAAAGGAAGGAAAAGGGAAAAAATATTGATTCATTGATAGCATGTGAACATACGTTGAGGTCTCAGTATGTTTCTGACCCCGCACAAATAGTATAGTAGCTCTATAAGGAAACTCATAGAATGAAAATAACTATTATTTTTTTTTTTTTTTTACAATTTCCTAGTATTAAATTTTGTAGCTACATACATTTGCTTACCTCATATTTAACGTAATAGGTATATGCATAGATGAAATCGTGTTAAGAAGGAATATATATATATATATAAATTGTTCCATATAAGCTGACTCATTTCTCTTTTTGTTTCTTCAATTTTTGCAGATAATGGTTCTTGTTTCTTGTAGTACATGTGTGTGTGTGTGTGACATTAGTGGAACATTTTTTGTGCATTCTAAACTTAGGTAAAAAAAAACTATTGATAGTTTGAGAAAATGAGAGGATAAGGAGCACCGTGGGGTTTAGAATTGATATAATATTAAATAATTACATATGTCTCATTTTAACCACACGAAATTGACATAATCATTCAAGACAAATTTTCCATGAACCCAATTTATATAAATTCATGTGATCTACAAAGTGAGACCCATATTCCTATGTTTTTATCAATGTTTACTCTACTCAATTATTTAGTACACATAATACTTAGAAAAATAAAACCCTGCGAGCTTAGTTTATGAAAAAAATCATGTCCTTTTTTCTTAGGTAAGTAAGTTGTGGGTGTTTAAGAGGATAAAGAGAGTAAAATTTGTATGAAAACATATGGCATCAGCATTAGGTCATATTTTAATTTCTACTTTTTGGAAAATTGGTTATAGATTTTTTAAAAATAATTAATCTACAAATGAATTGAATTTCTATTGCAAATTTCTTTACTAATTTCCTTAAGAGTTCTTTGTACAATGATTCTTTTAAATATTTATTTGTTATCTCTGTAGTATAAATATTATGTCGAGCAGCAATGAGCCACCGCATCATTTCGTTCAACTTATCACACTTTCCTTGGCCCATAATGTTCGTTTGGTAAGCGTAAAAATGATCTCTGTCAATATTTATTGATAATAAATAGAACTATATATAAATTAAATAATATTTTCATGGGATTTATGTTCTTCTTTCTATAGTTGCTTCCTAGATGTTTTGTGCGTTGCTTGGGACGTGAGCTCAGTGATACAGTATGTCTAATTGATTATGATGGAATAATTTGTAACATACAATTGGAAAGAGTCGATGGTAATATATATCTTAGTATAGGATGACCAGAATTCTTCGACCATCATAACTTACAAGATGATTTTCTTATCGCCTTTGAATACAACGGAAATTCTACTTTCGATATTTGACCATTCAAGCATGGAAGTAACGTATGAATTTGATACATTTGACATAGAGACTTCACGTATTTGTAATCCTGTCTTTCGAGTAACATTAGAAGCTAATCGCAATGGTCATAGAACAATTGTGAGCTTCTCTTTTTAACTTAAATGTTTTCCAGACTACATACAACATTGTCATCTCTATTGTTATCGCTTAATTCTAAGTTCTACCATTCATGGATTTGTTAATTTACTTAGTAGTATGTACCTGGGACATTCGCTAGAGTGTATCTACTAGTATTTGTCCAGAATGTTCGAATCTATGATTGTTCACATCGTAATTGGTTTGTGCGAACAAATCTGAGAACAAATAGATATGTACGACGATTTTCTGTAGGTTCGGCAGACAATGTTAACGAGAGACGACTTTGAATGGTGACACATGTGCCTTTGAACTTATAAACGATGAAGTCCCCATGTTCATGGTGTACAAAGTGTACCGCAATGATGGAAGTTGGACCCTTAGATGAATTGTACACTTTAATTTGTAGCTTCCGTGTTTACTTATTATTGAACATTAATTTTCCTCTTTATGTACGAACACTTTATAACTAAACCCATTGGAATTTGAATTTCTAATTTACCTATTTTATTTTTGCTTCAAGTTTGCACTAAATTCGTGGTTTTTGATTCACTTTAGGAAAATCAGTACATAATTGGTTTGTGCTTATAAGTAACGTACGTAATGAAATCCTACATTTCGAGTTCGTAGCTTTTGTGTATCATCATTGATCGAAAGCTGGAATCCACGTCGCTAAAATTATTCTCAGTATGTAAATAGTTTAAATGCTTCTAGAACATTCTTTATTATAAATTTTAATTATTGCTTAATGTCTTCGGAGCAACCTAAAAAATATATTCTAGGTCTATATGAAGAATATTTTGCCCTAACTCAAATTTTTCAGGTTACCTTTCGCGATCATGCATTTAACTTTTAGGACTATATCTTCGTGCACCTAAAGAGGTTTATTCTCGCTTAATTTTTGCTCTATTATGCAATTGTTCTTCTCTATATTTCTATTTAAGTTGCGCTTTTATTCTTACACTTCCATTTAATTAATCAGGCTATACATTTTTTCTATAGGTATATATCTAAAGAGTAAAGAAGTAACAAACATGCTTGAGCCTTTTCTAAAGCATTTATCACTAAATTTAGAAAGAACTCTCCCCAAAAGTTTACCATAATTTAAAATAGCAATCAAATATGTTCATAGAAACCTTTTCTGTTGTTTGTAGCTATAAAATGAACGTTATAAAGCTCAAATAAACAATCAATTTTCTGTCAACATACTTGATTATTCTTTCGTGAGAATTCTTTCTAAACTTAGTAATGATTACTTTGGAAGAGGCTTAAACTCTATGTTCCAACCTGATTTCACATTGAGAAGTGATTTCTAGACCAACATTTATTATGTTATGTTATTTTTCTCAATTTATAATTCTTAAATTTCAGTTTTACTTACAGACACTTCACACCACTCTTTTACACATAATACTCATCTTTATTCTCTCTTTCAGGAAAAAGTAATGATGTGAGAATGGAATGTGGATCGAAGGTGTAAAGATATGTTTTGGCGTCACCCAGTAAGCAATTTTTTTTAAATATAGTGCCATTGGTCTACCAAATCCTATGCACGAAAATGATGAAAAAATAGGCACGACTGTCCTTTTGCCAATTTATTTCAAAGTTTAGTTGCTAAAAGATTTAATGTCTTAGGTCGTTCTTAAAAAGCATTCGATGGAGTTGCATGATCCCTACAATCTTGAAAGAGAGAATTTGTTGCCACTTATTCATAAGGGGTCATATCTGACACAATGCTAATGTCATATATTTTCTACCAATTTTATCCCTCATCTTTTCTCTAACACCACGTCATTGCATTTTCGTAGGATTTCTTTCTCTTCTCTAAGTCAATCTCCATTTGTCCACGCTTATTCCCATACCTCTTCCCAAACAATCATTTGTACTTTGCAAATCTTCTCTTTACTTCTTTTTTCTTTTCTATTTCTTTCTCCCACGATTTTTTGTTTAATTTCACCAAAGTTTTTCATTATTCTTTTGCTCAAATACAAAGAGTGGAAGACCTCTCGAGAATACTTTCATTTGTTAGCAACTAAAGGGACGTAATCTGAATCTTTAATGTCAGGTGGTTAAATGAAAGAATACAAAATGAAAGATTGGTTCCCATTTCTTGGAAGCTTCAAAACGTCGCCTTTGTAAGTCTAGGTTTTTGGATTTACTATCGCACTCGTTGCCTGCCTATATTTTTTGACAACTCGAGCTAGTTTTCCTTTTCAAATGAGAATAGAAAGTTCTGGTTTTCCGTTTAGATTCTAATTATATACACTTTCCAATTGATTGATTCTGGTATTTAAATAAATGTTTTAAATTTCATGCTCAATCGAGGATGATTCCTTGGCCTTTGCGGTTTGGTATTTCCAATTTTAGCATATTAGTTTGGAATATTTTATGTAATTGTTTTATCTTTCAGGATACTGTTATTGAAATTTCATTTTCAACATAAAAATGTGACATTGCTTAGCTAAGGTACGTTTATTTTTATAGCTTCTATTCATGTGGGTTTGGTTCAAATTTCATTGAGATTGTTTGGTTTGCTTTATATTGTAAAAATTCTGAATCTTTAGCTGTCATAGTGCTTTAAATTCAACTGATTTGGTGAATAGTATAACCGTATTCAATGTTGCTTACTTTTATGCCTGGGGTTGATGATGAGTTTTTAGTATACATCTTACTTTTCCATTTTTAGATTTTGCATTTTTAGTCTCTTTCTTCCGCTTAATTTCTACCTACTGTCATCATTTAATAAATTACTTGCTATTGTTTCCCTGTGTAATGTCAACGCCTATTTAGGAAATGTAAGATGTTATTTTGTAGAATTTTTTTATCAAATCTACCTTTATAGTACAATTATGTTGCTTACGCTATTAGTTCTTCGCGTAGCTAATGGTAGTAAGGCTTTTTGAACTGAAACTTCTGTGACTAGAATGTAAGTAAAATTAGTGTAACCTGAGTAGAAGAATTTGTTTATTGCTTTATTGAAGTAAAAACAGTTGATATATGTTATAGAAGGATATTTTGCAACTGGGATTGGAGTTCGAATAGAAGTTAGCAGAATTGGAGGAGTTTATGTTGATATACTTATATGGCCTCAGAACTGACCTCTCTATAGTATAAAATTTGAGCTAATTATACAATAAGAAAAATTGGTTTCTTTTGAGTATTTTTACTTAATGATTTGATCTTTACAACTCTTAGTCGTTTTTTGCAAATTGTTTTGACAGAATGCTTTGTGAATGCATTTCACTTAATTTGATGAGCCAACATAATTCTGACATTATGTGAATAAGACCTCATTAAATAAAAATGGCCATTACGTGTAGTACGACATATTTTATTGTTCTCGTGTTGTCGATTCTTTTATTTATATAAAATCATTGGTATAGTCAGCTAGAGTTCTCTGTAGATATTTTTTCTCCTTTTAATAGCATTGATTTTGGATACGATGTAGATATGGTTGGATCATAGTGTTGAAGAAATTTCATAGCTAGCTTTTGAATATAGGGTATAACGCTTACTTTTATTTTAAAATTGAGTTAGGATTCGTGATGAGTAAAATGATTGCAAGCAATTTTGATTTATTTTATAGTATATGTAGTGTTAGTGGATGGTGAAACCAGGAGGATATATGATAGGTATAGTAAAGAGGGACTTAAGCAGCATGTTGCCAATGGTGGTGGTACTGGTAGATATGGTTGAATGAATTTTCAAGATATTGTTAGCTTGCAACTTTATGCCTTCCTTGCATGAATTGTACATTTTCATTTGTACATTTCATTTTTACTTATTATCGAACATTTGTTTTGTTTTCTTATGTATGAACCCCCCCATAACTAAATTCATTAGAACTTGGATCTCTAATTTGCTTGTGTTATTTTTACTTCAAATTAGCACTCAATTTGTACATTTTATTTATTTTGAACAAAGTCGTTACAAAAATTTGGTTTTAGTATTTCTAATTAACATATATAATGAAATCGTACATTTGAACTTCGTTCAATTTTATATCATCGTCATTCGGAGAATGGCATTCTTCTGGTTAGACCTATTCCAAGTAAGTAAACAGTTTAAAGGCTTATACTTTTATAAAAAACCTCTTGCCTACATTTTGCCATAATGGTTGCATTTCATATGAACTTCCCCAGGGTATCAAAAGACTTTCATATCAGTTCTTTGCCTTTTTCTTCTATTGTACCCTCCAAAAAAAAAGAAAAAAAAATTATAGGATTGAGAATGCTTTAAAAGATTTTTTTTAATTATTTTTGATTAATTTTTCATAAAATTCTGCAGATAAAAGTTGCTCAAGTTACTTTTGAATATGAATAACACATTGCAACTGAATTTGGGGGTTCATTGAGCTTGACCCTGTTCATGCAACTGACTTTCAAGTTCCCGTTGGTAAAATTTTTTCGTAGTCATAGCTCACCTATATGTTTTTTGACCTAGTTTTCACATGATGGATGATATAATTCTATGCTGAGAAAAGTGATGGTGTTGCACATTATATAATTTTCATTTATATAGTTGTTCAAACTCCTTTTCCTTTTGTTTCCTATCTGATGGAAAACTTATTGTTGGATTCTATCAGATTGTACTAGCGACAAAGCTTGCTACGAAACCTTGAGAGGCCACAATCAAGACACTTTCATATGTTCAAGGATGGTGTGTTTCATTCTTACATGCTCGTTGCAACGAAGAAACATATATTACTGAAGGCATCGACAAAATTACTAAAAAAACTTTGAAACTATTTCTACAAATTCTCCTACCTCCTTGGATGTGATGAGAGTAGCTAAATATTTTACGTTGTACCATATGATTTTCTATTTATATTTAACATACTGGTGTTTCAATGGCATCTGGATATGTGACTTATTATCCTTTTATTTTCTATTTAATAGTAATTGGATGTTAGGAAATAGATTGTTTTAACTACATCAACCTTTTTTTTTCCGGATCAGTGTGAATTTGATAATCTTTCCTTCAAATTCGGTTTCTTATTGATACCGTATTCATTATGACCATAAACTCTCTTTATCGTTTACCACTTAATGTATATTTATAATTGTTCATGCTAAGTCTACATAATTATATATTTAAATTTTTTAAAAATATCTTGTCTTTTTAACAAATTAACTTACAAAAATATAACAAATCATCGTGCAATGCACGATACACAACTAAAGTTGAATAAAATGAAATTTAATGTTTCAAGTACTATAACACTTCTTTGCGCACAATAATGTTCCACAATTTTTCTTCTTTTACAAGGACTTGTTATTTGTATTGAAACTCCACAAAAAAGTTCGACGAATAGTTGCTTACTGTAGAATATATGTTCAAGAAAGTATGTTTCAACAGTATCATTGTTTGTCTTTGAGCATTGTTAATTGTTATCGCAAAACATAGACGTATTGAAAATTATTTTCTATTGAATTTGAATAGATATCCTCCATTACTTGCCAACGTTAATTGGATGCGTGGAAGGGAAACTTATTTTTTAACATGTTGTCCAATGATTACTTCAACATGAATAATTTGTCTCTTGAAATCATGACAAATTATGCTTGTTCCATTGCAAAAATCTTAGATGGTCCAGATTTCTTAAGAACATTGCTGAATAACTTTTTTCGAGATTATCTTATGTGGTGAGATACCATTTGGCAATAATGTATTTAGGAACTCCTCTTGGTAAAATTTATTTGTATCATCTACTACTTCATCAAGATTTAAAATCGACATATTCTTCGCCTTCTACAGGAAATAACTCAATTAACTTGTTATCGAGGTAGTCAACATACTCATTTTTTATTGAAAGAATTCGACGTTGTACCATATAATTAGAAGAAGGTGCATTTTCTATTAAATCCAGGAATATTTGCATTGATTAAGTGTAACTCTCAAGTTTCAGCATCGTCACATGCTATGTTTGTCTTCTTTGATAAGTTGACGAAGTCATTCTCTGTGTAAGGTTCTGTTTCATTATCAATTTGGCTATAGTATTGTACAAATCATTATTGAAATTTTTTTGAATTGTAATTATTAGTGATTTTCATAATATATTATATTGAAAAAATAAATAAAAATTAACTGCTAAAACATTTTGTTTTCATGTTTTATAATAGAGTTTTTATATTTCATACAATAATGCTTATTTCTTAAATACATATAAAATTCTTATTGTCTTTTTTATTTATTTATATTAATGATTTTTAAGACTTCGTCATTGCACATAGCCTCGTTTGGCCTCCCATTTTTTGAAATGAAAATATGCGGAATAGTATTTTTATTTTATTTTAAAAATGAGTAGTTGAAAAAGAAGGAGAATTTTTCGATTTACATGTAATATTATTTTATGAAAGGTCGTGTGATTGAAAATAGAAGAGAGAAAAATGAAATGGAATTTAATGGGGCCAAACGTAGGCATAATAATGCTCCTCGTTGAAACTTTTTTTTTTTCCTTTTTTAAATTGTACGTATTAATGACTATTTATAAAAGCAGTAATATCAATAATTAGTAATAGTTGTATTTAGTGGTGTACAAGTTAATTTTTTGGTTGGAAATAAATTAAATTTATATTAATGACATATAAATATATTAAATGGGAATTGAAGATATAGGCTAAATATAAGGGTAAAATTGTCAATCCTTCATTTTTAAAGAAATAGATAGATCAAGAGATAAGTTAGAATTTAATAAAAATTCATGGGTTTAATGAGATTTTATGATTTTACTCGTTAGGTGATTGTCTTCAATTGCTATATTTTACTAGATATTTTGATCATATAAAGAAATAAATTTGAAGATAATAAAAATAAATAAATAAATAAATTTGATCATGGCGCGTGGGGTTCGAATATACTAGACCAACTATTTTAATTTATTTATTTCCTTTAGATATATATCTCGAAGGTGTAAAATTGTCTATTCACGTAATTAATCCTCAAATCGCTATTCACTAAAACCCGATATCACACGCTCCAGCGTTTTCAGTTTTAACACCAATCACCGCCGGCAAATTTTCGCTCTACTGCACCCCACGCTCCCTTCGCCACGTGTCATTCACTCCTCATGGTCCCACCCCCAACGGCCACTCTACCTTCCTAAACGCTTTACGAATTAACCTGCCCTCAGTTCTCTCTCACATCGTCGCCGACAAAATCTAATCCGGCGATACAGAAAACGTATTTGTATATTTATATCTAATTTATTTTCAGAATTCCCATTTTTCTTCCTTTTTTGCGGTTACAGATATTGCGTTAATTAATATTTATTGCCGTTTCAATCAGCTTCGCGATCTGCGTTATTACTTTTTAAAGGTTTACTTTTACTCCATCTGAATAAAGTAGACAGCTGAATTTTCGTTCTAAACGTTATTTAAGTTTTGTACTGAATAATGATCTGATTTTTCTAGTGTACAGAGATTTGGTAATGCTTGATTGAGTAATTTATCGACCATCATCAACAATTTTGAGAGAGTTTAGGTGATCGATAGTTTGCGATGTCTGGACCATTGGATCGATTTGCGAGGCCTTGTGAGTAAAAATTTGTTTCTTGTAATCGTGTTGACTTTTTTAGAAAATAGAGTTTATGCGGTTGCATTCTGTATGAACCCAATGTAATTAGTTGTGTATCATTTGTTGAGGTGATTTTTGTTGGAAATTTTATTATGTTTTTGCTAATATGGGCAGTTTCAAATTTAGAAAAATTAAAGAAATTAGGCAAACTTAGGATGGGGTTGAACTTTTCTACTTCCATGAAATTTCTGGATCAAAATTGTGTTGTTGCTTTTTGAGGTGTGTATTAACGCCTGACGCCCATTGTTAATTTTTTTTCACTAAAGTATTTCTCTTTGCATTGGAAATACTCTTTAGAGGTATTTCTTGAAGCTCTTTTCCGTCGATGTTTAGTTTTAGACATTCTTGTGCTGCAGCTGCACTGCTGTATTTGATGATTCCATATGTGTGTAACTGTTTTGAAATGGCATGACTAGAATTGATTATTGTGGAGACACATAGCATCTATGACTCCATTCATTGAAAGTAGGTTATATTCTCTAGACCTTGGTTTTTTTCTTATAAATTTTAGTTTAGATGTGGAAGTATCAGTTGGCTCCTAAAAGTTGTGCATTCTTAACAGGCAAATATTGGAATAATTTGTAACAAGGATTATGTACCAAAATAACTAATTTAAGCCATGATATGAGATTTATTAATTTCACAAAAGCTTTCTTACTATATTTTCCGATTATTGGACTCATTTAACTTCGTGTTTCTTCTATGAATGAAGCAGTCATTTTCTTTTAATTTAAATGAATTTTTTATATCTATATTTTCTCTCCGCATAATAGGCTTTGAGGGCTCATCAGGTAATGATGAGCGGAGAGAAAGAAAATCTGACTTTGAGAATTCCGAGGATGAAAGAAGGACAAAAATTGGTACCCTGAAAAAGAAAGCACTGAATGCCTCCTCAAAGTTTAAACATTCTCTGAAGAAGAAGAAGAAAAGTAGAAGCAAGAACGATGGTCGAGTCAGCTCTGTTTCGATTGAGGATATCCGAGATGCTGAGGAACTAAAATCTGTTGACGCATTCCGACAAGCCTTACTGTTGGATGAATTATTACCAGCAAAACATGATGACTACCATACGATGTTGAGGTTCTCTATTCTTTTCTCTTTACTATTTTTCTTAAATGCATACAATGACAATATAATCTATAAAGTTCATCCTGGACCATCACATTGTTGGAATGGATTTATAAGGGAGGTCACTGAAACATTACCTTTCATTTGGGTGGATTATCCGCCACATTTTGAATTGGAATATCACTCGAGTCTCTCTAATTTAGACGTATGCACTCTTTGCCAGAGGATGCATAGGGATGAAAGTTCTCCATGGCATCATAATTTTCCTGGACTTATCTGTTTGGATCAGCATACCAAGCCAGAATAATGTTTGACCCTATTTTGATAATGACCTTCTATAATTCTTCTGCAACTCTATCTTGTTGTTTATAAAATTAAATCTCTCATGTTTTAGTGAGAAAAAATTTATGTCTGTCTTCTAAAGAAATGTCAATTATATAGTTGTGAGTGATTCAGACTTGAGTGATTACTTCAACCATTTCTTGTATGTTATGAGTTTCCTGTTCGTGGGGAATATCAAAGACAATATGAATGAGATTAATGTTTCTTGTATAAGCTTAGTTCATCCTTGGAAGGTTAGTGGTCACAGTGCTAGCTTCATTCTACACGGGTTTTACCTGTTCTATATATATATATATATATGACAATGGACAGAGGCACGTAAATGTAGCTTTGAGTTTCTTTTTTGTGAGCTCTTGGTTCTGTTATTAATTTCCCTTCTGATTCAGTAATCAATCAATCTTTTATAAGATTATTATTGACAAAATTACTTGCAGGTTTCTGAGAGCAAGGAAGTTTGATATTGAGAAAGCCAAGCAGATGTGGGCTGATATGATTCAATGGAGGAAAGATTTTGGTGCCGACACAATTATGGAAGTAATAGACATGATAAGTTTCAAACTTGCTTGTAGACCTGGCAAATGTCCTGGTTTCTTTTAGTGATGATTCCTTTATGGATTTATGTTTTTTTATTCCCTGCCAGGATTTTGAATTTAAAGAGTTGAATGAAGTTTTGAAGTACTATCCACATGGTTATCATGGAGTTGACAAGGAGGGTAGGCCAGTGTACTTTGAGAGATTGGGGAAAGTTGATCCAAATAAACTTATGCAAGTTACGACCTTGGACCGTTATATAAAATACCACGTGAGAGAGTTTGAGAAATGCTTTGCAATTAAGTTTCCTGCTTGTACTGTTGCTGCCAAAAGGCACATTGATTCAAGCACAACAATTTTGGACGTTCATGGTGTGGTATGTTTCATGCTGTTAAGTTTTCATTTTTCACAAATTGTCCTTGCAGCACATATGTTATTGGTCATTCTTAATTTCTACATGTAATATGTGTCTCATTGTTAAATTTCAGGGTTTGAAAAACTTTACTAAGAGTGCGCGTGAACTCATTATGCGGCTTCAAAATATTGATGGCAATAATTATCCTGAAGTAAACTTTTAGATTTAGCTTGATCAGTGTTATCGTTCTTTGCAAAGTCTTTGGGTAGTGATATATATTGTACTTCCAATTTTTACAGACGCTCCATCAAATGTTTATCATTAATGCTGGTCCAGGCTTTAAACTACTGTGGAATACTGTAAAGAGCTTTTTAGATCCAAGAACCACAACGAAAATTCATGTATGTCAATATTCTTCTTTCAGTTGTTTGTAAGCATTGTTGTCCTCTTCAAGCGACTGACTGCAATTAATGAATCTCTCTTTTTTTCTGAAATTTATCGAAGGTTCTTGGAAACAAATACCAGAACAAGTTGCTTGAAATAATAGATTCCAGGTAAATGGGATTGAAATCATACTTAACAGAGATGATATTCATCATCTTGCTTTTGATGACATTACCGTTGAATTCTGTTTGAATGACGCTGAATTTGTTTTTGTGGGCTTATGCAGTGAGTTGCCAGAATTCTTGGGAGGAATGTGTACCTGTGCAGATCAAGGGGGTTGCATGCACTCTGATAAAGGACCATGGAAGAATCCAGAGATTCTAAAGGTACTTACCTAATCTGCGAAAAGTTTTTACTATTTAAAATAAATGAATGCATTACATAACCCCAGTCAACTTTATTGTTGTTTATTTTGAAAAAAGTTGATTGCTTGACATCACGGTGCAGATGGTACTCAATTGTGAAACACTACGTGCCAGGCAGGTTGTTAAAGTTCTCAACAGTGAGGGGAAGGTCGTCTATGCTAAACCACACTACCCAATGGTATGGCCTCCATGTCATTTTGAATGGTATGTTAGATTTAAGCGAAACGATCTTGGTTTCATTTGGTTGTTGAAGCAGGTTAAAGGCAGTGATACTTCTGCTGAGTCTGGTTCTGAAGCTGAAGATATTGCTTCACCAAAGGCCATCCGGAGTTATTCTCATCTTCGGTTGACTCCTGTTCATGAGGAGGTACTGTTTGGTTCAGAGTTCATTTTCACAATTATATGTTTCAGTTTTCTTCGGCTGGGAAGCATAAAATTAGATGTGCCTTAATTGAAAACCTCTATATTTGTGTTAAGTAAATTTGGGCTTTTGTCACTATTGTTTTGGGAAATTTCAGCAGTAAGAACCTTTTATTGTCATAGTAGGTGGATCAAAATTGACTATGCATTTTGTAATCGACAATTTCAAGTAATATTCGACTTATTGCACAGGCTAAGGCCAGTGGAACGCCAACCTATTATGGTAACTTTTCAGGAAGTGATGAATACGTTCCCATGGTTGACAAGGCTGTTGATTCTGGATGGAAGAAGCAAGCATCCTTTCAGAAGTCTAGTATTACAAAAGGTTGGTTTCTGAAGTACATGGTTAGAAGATTTTGATCCGCATTTGTTACCCGACATCATTTTTAAATCAACACAGATCATCCAATTCCTGCTATTATATGTATTATTATTTGAATATTGATGTGTATATCTATGTCATGTTAATCTCTCTCCTTCCCTTCCTCTCTCTCTGGAACAATGATACAAACATTCTGCAAAGAAATGTTGCACAATGTTTATCTGACATTTGTCATCAACCTGTGATTATTGTCAGTGAGAAATTCATTTATTTTTACCTTAGTTTGCATAGATGAGAAGTACACAGTTATACAAATGACCAGAAGAAAAAGGTATTCAAAATTTATTATTTATCTTTTCTAATTTTGCTTATAGCTATAGGTTGGGTAGTTTTTGTTCTCTCTTTTATATTTTTCTAGTGTTCATAGATCAATTTAGCCTGCTGTGAAATTATTAATTGCTGCCACATTTGAGGGATGTGCTAATCCTTTTCTTGTCCTGCAAAATAAACAATTGAATCTGACGTAGGATCAGAATGATCTCCCTAGAATGCTTTATTAATACTGGCCATTCATTTTTCATTCAGAGACATTTCCCGCACCTGATTCTCAAAATGCTTCAGAAGGACTGCATGCTCGGATTTTGGCTGCTCTTATGGCCTTCTTCATGACCCTTTTCATGCTCTTCCGCTCAGTATCGTGCTATCTAACCAAGAAGGTTCCTGAAGTATCATCACATCAACAATCAACCATTACGGAAATTGCCTTTGACACGAGCCCAAAGGAGGAATTTCGACCGCCATCTCCAACACCAGCATTTTCAGAGGGAGAAATGCTCGCTTCTGTAATGAATAGGTTGTGCAAACTTGAGGAGAAGGTTAATACTCTTCAAACAAAGCCATTTGTAATGCCCTGTGAGAAAGAAGAACTGCTGCATGCTGCTGTTTGTCGAGTGGAAGCCCTAGAAGCAGAGTTAATTGCAACAAAAAAGGTAGATTCTGTTTTAACCGTCTTTAATTTGCAACCAAAATCCATTCTTCTGTGACTACATAGATTCAGTACCGTTTTAATCTGCATCGTTGAGGATTTGGTTTTACCTAGAATTCCCTGTTATCCATGTCTTTGTAAAGGCACTTGAACTGATATTGGATTGGATTTTCACCTTGGCAGGCTCTGTACGAGGCTTTGATTAAGCAAGAGGAGCTGCTTGCTTATATAGACGGTCAACAAGAAGCCAGACTTCGGGTGAGTTAAATCAGTTCTTTGTTCTTGATATACAATAGAAGTTTCAACCTTTGAATTACGAGTAGTACTCTTTCTCAGACGTGCACGCGCCACTCACTTTGAAGTTAATCAGAACCTCCCTACAATTTATGAATCATAAAAATTTTGCACTCGCACACATTTTGTTATGCACATCTCTGTCTCAGTCGTGCACATAATTGTAAGCTAATGTCATTCACAGATAATCTGGTTTTGTTTTGGTGATATGCAGAAAAAGAAGTTTTGCTGGTAAGGTGTGAAGTATGGAGGTTCGACGTTCCAGGATGTGTTTGGCTGTGTTGACGTATAATAAATATCCACTATCATACCGCGGCTGTGTGAATTTCATTGATGTTGGATTTCTATCCTGTTTTGAGAAAGTGAATTGAGCTTGTTATAAGTTACAAATTACAGTTGTTTCTGAAATTACTGAAAGGATTTTTATAAGTGAGATTGAACTCTCCCTCTCCCCAACAGACTTTTATGGCGTGTTTCCTGAGATAAACTGACTGCCATCCATGAATTATGAACATATACATCCCTTTGTTTAATTGCTGGTTTCGTTCAAATCCTGAAAAGTAAGTCCTTGTTTGAGCCCATTCTTTTCGTAAGAAAGAATTTTTGAATAGTGTATTGATGAGAAATGTGTAATGAAAAATAAAGAAAAATTTTGGATTTACGTGTAATGTTATATTATTGAAGAATGTGTCATTGAAATGATGTCTAAACATTGTTTAAAAATGTATTTTTTTTTTTTTAAAGAATGAGACTCAAGTTGGGGCTAAATTGATGTTGCCTTGCTTTATTTTCTAGGAATTTTTCTTAGTGGGTTTTTTTTTTGTTAAAATGAAAATTTTGATTTTCTTATTAAAAAAATGCCATTGAGTCTGCAAAATATTTGTAATTTTGTTTTACCTAAATATTCTCTACAAAATGTCAATTCTAATCCCACAAGCAACTCAAATCAAGGCACAACATCCTGAACATTCCTTTTTATGTCTTACTATTGATTCTTATAAAATTACGACCTTGACAAAACAATACCTTTCATACTCGATGAACGTTGTTCGAACCAAGTAAGTATCAAATTGATTTTAATCCTTTTCCTATATTAAAATACCAACCAAATAGTAAATACACTACACGTAAGGTACACATGCCCTGATAAAAATCTTATTAAAATTTAAGTCAAAGTTACTGATTAAGCCCCTGTTTGTTTCCCATTTTTCCCTATTAAAATGAAAAAAATGATCGTTATCCATCACGGGTCTGTTTGGGAACAATTTTTTCTCCTAAAAATTGATTTTTTGATCGTTATTTCACTATTTCAACCGTCATATTCGACTTCTTCTCTCACAGGTGAACCCCACTTTTTTTATAACGGTTAAAAAATCAATTCTCAAAATCATTCCCAAACAGGCTCCACATCAAATCACCAAATTTGAATTTAGGGTGCGTTTGATTGCAAGTAGGAAAATTGCATGGAAAGAAAATATTTTCTAGGTAATTCAATTGCCTGGAAATTATTTACATGGAAAATGTTAATTACACATGTTTGATTGACTTAAATTTCAACCTAGAAAATGTTATAATTTTCCAACTTTAGGTGTTTGATAGCCATTATTTTTCATGGAAATTGTTATTTTTTCCAATTTTATCTGTTTGACAAGCACTATTTTCCATGGAAATTGTCACTTTTTCCATGGAAAATATTGGATTTTTTCCATGAAAATTTGTCAATGAATGTTCCATCTTTTAAATAAATTAAAGACATAAATTCGGCCAAATCCTAATCAATCCTAATTAATATAGCAGTTAATTTATGGATAAAAACATGCCAAGATTATAACACATTGCAACTGAATTTGGGGGTTCATTGAGCTTGACCCTGTTCATGCAACTGACTTTCAAGTTCCCGTTGGTAAAATTTTTTCGTAGTCATAGCTCACCTATATGTTTTTTGACCTAGTTTTCACATGATGGATGATATAATTCTATGCTGAGAAAAGTGATGGTGTTGCACATTATATAATTTTCATTTATATAGTTGTTCAAACTCCTTTTCCTTTTGTTTCCTATCTGATGGAAAACTTATTGTTGGATTCTATCAGATTGTACTAGCGACAAAGCTTGCTACGAAACCTTGAGAGGCCACAATCAAGACACTTTCATATGTTCAAGGATGGTGTGTTTCATTCTTACATGCTCGTTGCAACGAAGAAACATATATTACTGAAGGCATCGACAAAATTACTAAAAAAACTTTGAAACTATTTCTACAAATTCTCCTACCTCCTTGGATGTGATGAGAGTAGCTAAATATTTTACGTTGTACCATATGATTTTCTATTTATATTTAACATACTGGTGTTTCAATGGCATCTGGATATGTGACTTATTATCCTTTTATTTTCTATTTAATAGTAATTGGATGTTAGGAAATAGATTGTTTTAACTACATCAACCTTTTTTTTTCCGGATCAGTGTGAATTTGATAATCTTTCCTTCAAATTCGGTTTCTTATTGATACCGTATTCATTATGACCATAAACTCTCTTTATCGTTTACCACTTAATGTATATTTATAATTGTTCATGCTAAGTCTACATAATTATATATTTAAATTTTTTAAAAATATCTTGTCTTTTTAACAAATTAACTTACAAAAATATAACAAATCATCGTGCAATGCACGATACACAACTAAAGTTGAATAAAATGAAATGTAATGTTTCAAGTACTATAACACTTCTTTGCGCACAATAATGTTCCACAATTTTTCTTCTTTTACAAGGACTTGTTATTTGTATTGAAACTCCACAAAAAAGTTCGACGAATAGTTGCTTACTGTAGAATATATGTTCAAGAAAGTATGTTTCAACAGTATCATTGTTTGTCTTTGAGCATTGTTAATTGTTATTGCAAAACATAGACGTATTGAAAATTATTTTCTATTGAATTTGAATAGATATCCTCCATTATTTGCCAACGTTAATTGGATGCGTGGAAGGGAAACTTATTTTTTAACATGTTGTCCAATGATTACTTCAACATGAATAATTTGTCTCTTGAAATCATGACAAATTATGCTTGTTCCATTGCAAAAATCTTAGATGGTCCAGATTTCTTAAGAACATTGCTGAATAACTTTTTTCGAGATTATCTTATGTGGTGAGATACCATTTGGCAATAATGTATTTAGGAACTCCTCTTGGTAAAATTTATTTGTATCATCTACTACTTCATCAAGATTTAAAATCGACATATTCTTCGCCTTCTACAGGAAATAACTCAATTAACTTGTTATCGAGGTAGTCAACATACTCATTTTTTATTGAAAGAATTCGACGTTGTACCATATAATTAGAAGAAGGTGCATTTTCTATTAAATCCAGGAATATTTGCATTGATTAAGTGTAACTCTCAAGTTTCAGCATCGTCACATGCTATGTTTGTCTTCTTTGATAAGTTGACGAAGTCATTCTCTGTGTAAGGTTCTGTTTCATTATCAATTTGGCTATAGTATTGTACAAATCATTATTGAAATTTTTTTGAATTGTAATTATTAGTGATTTTCATAATATATTATATTGAAAAAATAAATAAAAATTAACTGCTAAAACATTTTGTTTTCATGTTTTATAATAGAGTTTTTATATTTCATACAATAATGCTTATTTCTTAAATACATATAAAATTCTTATTGTCTTTTTTATTTATTTATATTAATGATTTTTAAGACTTCGTCATTGCACATAGCCTCGTTTGGCCTCCCATTTTTTGAAATGAAAATATGCGGAATAGTATTTTTATTTTATTTTAAAAATGAGTAGTTGAAAAAGAAGGAGAATTTTTCGATTTACATCTAATATTATTTTATGGAAAATCGTGTGATTGAAAATAGAAGAAAGAAAAATGAAATGAAATTTAATGGGGCCAAACATAGGCATAATAATGCTCCTCGTTGAAACTTTTTTTTTCTTTTTTAAATTGTACGTATTAATGACTGTTTATAAAAGCAGTAATATCAATAATTAGTAATAGTTGTATTTAGTGGTGTACAATTTAATTTTTTTGTTGGAAATAAATTAAATTTATATTAATGACATATAAATATTAAATGGGAATTGAAGATATAGGCTAAATATAAGGGTAAAATTGATCTTAAAAAGTTTCTCATCAATCCTTCATTTTTAAATAAATAGATAGATCAAGAGATAAGTTTGAATTTAATAAAAATTCATGGGTTTAATGAGATTTTATGATTTTACTCGTTAGGTGATTGTCTTCAATTGCTATATTTTACTAGATATTTTGATCATATAAAGAAATAAATTTGAAGATAATAAAAATAAATAAATAAATAAATTTGATCATGGCGCGTGGGGTTCGAATATACTAGACCAACTATTTTAATTTATTTATTTCCTTTAGATATATATCTCGAAGGTGTAAAATTGTCTATTCACGTAATTAATCCTCAAATCGCTATTCACTAAAACCCGATATCACACGCTCCAGCGTTTTCAGTTTTAACACCAATCACCGCCGGCAAATTTTCGCTCTACTGCACCCCACGCTCCCTTCGCCACGTGTCATTCACTCCTCATGGTCCCACCCCCAACGGCCACTCTACCTTCCTAAACGCTTTACGAATTAACCTGCCCTCAGTTCTCTCTCACATCGTCGCCGACAAAATCTAATCCGGCGATACAGAAAACGTATATGTATATTTATATCTAATTTATTTTCAGAATTCCCATTTTTCTTTCTTTTTTGCGGTTACAGATATTGCGTTAATTAATATTTATTGCCGTTTCAATCAGCTTCGCGATCTGCGTTATTACTTTTTAAAGGTTTACTTTTACTCCATCTGAATAAAGTAGACAGCTGAATTTTCGTTCTAAACGTTATTTAAGTTTTGTACTGAATAATGATCTGATTTTTCTAGTGTACAGAGATTTGGTAATGCTTGATTGAGTAATTTATCGACCATCATCAACAATTTTGAGAGAGTTTAGGTGATCGATAGTTTGCGATGTCTGGACCATTGGATCGATTTGCGAGGCCTTGTGAGTAAAAATTTGTTTCTTGTAATCGTGTTGACTTTTTTAGAAAATAGAGTTTATGCGGTTGCATTCTGTATGAACCCAATGTAATTAGTTGTGTATCATTTGTTGAGGTGATTTTTGTTGGAAATTTTATTATGTTTTTGCTAATATGGGCAGTTTCAAATTTAGAAAAATTAAAGAAATTAGGCAAACTTAGGATGGGGTTGAACTTTTCTACTTCCATGAAATTTCTGGATCAAAATTGTGTTGTTGCTTTTTGAGGTGTGTATTAACGCCTGACGCCCATTGTTAATTTTTTTTCACTAAAGTATTTCTCTTTGCATTGGAAATACTCTTTAGAGGTATTTCTTGAAGCTCTTTTCCGTCGATGTTTAGTTTTAGACATTCTTGTGCTGCAGCTGCACTGCTGTATTTGATGATTCCATATGTGTGTAACTGTTTTGAAATGGCATGACTAGAATTGATTATTGTGGAGACACATAGCATCTATGACTCCATTCATTGAAAGTAGGTTATATTCTCTAGACCTTGGTTTTTTTCTTATAAATTTTAGTTTAGATGTGGAAGTATCAGTTGGCTCCTAAAAGTTGTGCATTCTTAACAGGCAAATATTGGAATAATTTGTAACAAGGATTATGTACCAAAATAACTAATTTAAGCCATGATATGAGATTTATTAATTTCACAAAAGCTTTCTTACTATATTTTCCGATTATTGGACTCATTTAACTTCGTGTTTCTTCTATGAATGAAGCAGTCATTTTCTTTTAATTTAAATGAATTTTTTATATCTATATTTTCTCTCCGCATAATAGGCTTTGAGGGCTCATCAGGTAATGATGAGCGGAGAGAAAGAAAATCTGACTTTGAGAATTCCGAGGATGAAAGAAGGACAAAAATTGGTACCCTGAAAAAGAAAGCACTGAATGCCTCCTCAAAGTTTAAACATTCTCTGAAGAAGAAGAAGAAAAGTAGAAGCAAGAACGATGGTCGAGTCAGCTCTGTTTCGATTGAGGATATCCGAGATGCTGAGGAACTAAAATCTGTTGACGCATTCCGACAAGCCTTACTGTTGGATGAATTATTACCAGCAAAACATGATGACTACCATACGATGTTGAGGTTCTCTATTCTTTTCTCTTTACTATTTTTCTTAAATGCATACAATGACAATATAATCTATAAAGTTCATCCTGGACCATCACATTGTTGGAATGGATTTATAAGGGAGGTCACTGAAACATTACCTTTCATTTGGGTGGATTATCCGCCACATTTTGAATTGGAATATCACTCGAGTCTCTCTAATTTAGACGTATGCACTCTTTGCCAGAGGATGCATAGGGATGAAAGTTCTCCATGGCATCATAATTTTCCTGGACTTATCTGTTTGGATCAGCATACCAAGCCAGAATAATGTTTGACCCTATTTTGATAATGACCTTCTATAATTCTTCTGCAACTCTATCTTGTTGTTTATAAAATTAAATCTCTCATGTTTTAGTGAGAAAAAATTTATGTCTGTCTTCTAAAGAAATGTCAATTATATAGTTGTGAGTGATTCAGACTTGAGTGATTACTTCAACCATTTCTTGTATGTTATGAGTTTCCTGTTCGTGGGGAATATCAAAGACAATATGAATGAGATTAATGTTTCTTGTATAAGCTTAGTTCATCCTTGGAAGGTTAGTGGTCACAGTGCTAGCTTCATTCTACACGGGTTTTACCTGTTCTATATATATATATATATATGACAATGGACAGAGGCACGTAAATGTAGCTTTGAGTTTCTTTTTTGTGAGCTCTTGGTTCTGTTATTAATTTCCCTTCTGATTCAGTAATCAATCAATCTTTTATAAGATTATTATTGACAAAATTACTTGCAGGTTTCTGAGAGCAAGGAAGTTTGATATTGAGAAAGCCAAGCAGATGTGGGCTGATATGATTCAATGGAGGAAAGATTTTGGTGCCGACACAATTATGGAAGTAATAGACATGATAAGTTTCAAACTTGCTTGTAGACCTGGCAAATGTCCTGGTTTCTTTTAGTGATGATTCCTTTATGGATTTATGTTTTTTTATTCCCTGCCAGGATTTTGAATTTAAAGAGTTGAATGAAGTTTTGAAGTACTATCCACATGGTTATCATGGAGTTGACAAGGAGGGTAGGCCAGTGTACTTTGAGAGATTGGGGAAAGTTGATCCAAATAAACTTATGCAAGTTACGACCTTGGACCGTTATATAAAATACCACGTGAGAGAGTTTGAGAAATGCTTTGCAATTAAGTTTCCTGCTTGTACTGTTGCTGCCAAAAGGCACATTGATTCAAGCACAACAATTTTGGACGTTCATGGTGTGGTATGTTTCATGCTGTTAAGTTTTCATTTTTCACAAATTGTCCTTGCAGCACATATGTTATTGGTCATTCTTAATTTCTACATGTAATATGTGTCTCATTGTTAAATTTCAGGGTTTGAAAAACTTTACTAAGAGTGCGCGTGAACTCATTATGCGGCTTCAAAATATTGATGGCAATAATTATCCTGAAGTAAACTTTTAGATTTAGCTTGATCAGTGTTATCGTTCTTTGCAAAGTCTTTGGGTAGTGATATATATTGTACTTCCAATTTTTACAGACGCTCCATCAAATGTTTATCATTAATGCTGGTCCAGGCTTTAAACTACTGTGGAATACTGTAAAGAGCTTTTTAGATCCAAGAACCACAACGAAAATTCATGTATGTCAATATTCTTCTTTCAGTTGTTTGTAAGCATTGTTGTCCTCTTCAAGCGACTGACTGCAATTAATGAATCTCTCTTTTTTTCTGAAATTTATCGAAGGTTCTTGGAAACAAATACCAGAACAAGTTGCTTGAAATAATAGATTCCAGGTAAATGGGATTGAAATCATACTTAACAGAGATGATATTCATCATCTTGCTTTTGATGACATTACCGTTGAATTCTGTTTGAATGACGCTGAATTTGTTTTTGTGGGCTTATGCAGTGAGTTGCCAGAATTCTTGGGAGGAATGTGTACCTGTGCAGATCAAGGGGGTTGCATGCACTCTGATAAAGGACCATGGAAGAATCCAGAGATTCTAAAGGTACTTACCTAATCTGCGAAAAGTTTTTACTATTTAAAATAAATGAATGCATTACATAACCCCAGTCAACTTTATTGTTGTTTATTTTGAAAAAAGTTGATTGCTTGACATCACGGTGCAGATGGTACTCAATTGTGAAACACTACGTGCCAGGCAGGTTGTTAAAGTTCTCAACAGTGAGGGGAAGGTCGTCTATGCTAAACCACACTACCCAATGGTATGGCCTCCATGTCATTTTGAATGGTATGTTAGATTTAAGCGAAACGATCTTGGTTTCATTTGGTTGTTGAAGCAGGTTAAAGGCAGTGATACTTCTGCTGAGTCTGGTTCTGAAGCTGAAGATATTGCTTCACCAAAGGCCATCCGGAGTTATTCTCATCTTCGGTTGACTCCTGTTCATGAGGAGGTACTGTTTGGTTCAGAGTTCATTTTCACAATTATATGTTTCAGTTTTCTTCGGCTGGGAAGCATAAAATTAGATGTGCCTTAATTGAAAACCTCTATATTTGTGTTAAGTAAATTTGGGCTTTTGTCACTATTGTTTTGGGAAATTTCAGCAGTAAGAACCTTTTATTGTCATAGTAGGTGGATCAAAATTGACTATGCATTTTGTAATCGACAATTTCAAGTAATATTCGACTTATTGCACAGGCTAAGGCCAGTGGAACGCCAACCTATTATGGTAACTTTTCAGGAAGTGATGAATACGTTCCCATGGTTGACAAGGCTGTTGATTCTGGATGGAAGAAGCAAGCATCCTTTCAGAAGTCTAGTATTACAAAAGGTTGGTTTCTGAAGTACATGGTTAGAAGATTTTGATCCGCATTTGTTACCCGACATCATTTTTAAATCAACACAGATCATCCAATTCCTGCTATTATATGTATTATTATTTGAATATTGATGTGTATATCTATGTCATGTTAATCTCTCTCCTTCCCTTCCTCTCTCTCTGGAACAATGATACAAACATTCTGCAAAGAAATGTTGCACAATGTTTATCTGACATTTGTCATCAACCTGTGATTATTGTCAGTGAGAAATTCATTTATTTTTACCTTAGTTTGCATAGATGAGAAGTACACAGTTATACAAATGACCAGAAGAAAAAGGTATTCAAAATTTATTATTTATCTTTTCTAATTTTGCTTATAGCTATAGGTTGGGTAGTTTTTGTTCTCTCTTTTATATTTTTCTAGTGTTCATAGATCAATTTAGCCTGCTGTGAAATTATTAATTGCTGCCACATTTGAGGGATGTGCTAATCCTTTTCTTGTCCTGCAAAATAAACAATTGAATCTGACGTAGGATCAGAATGATCTCCCTAGAATGCTTTATTAATACTGGCCATTCATTTTTCATTCAGAGACATTTCCCGCACCTGATTCTCAAAATGCTTCAGAAGGACTGCATGCTCGGATTTTGGCTGCTCTTATGGCCTTCTTCATGACCCTTTTCATGCTCTTCCGCTCAGTATCGTGCTATCTAACCAAGAAGGTTCCTGAAGTATCATCACATCAACAATCAACCATTACGGAAATTGCCTTTGACACGAGCCCAAAGGAGGAATTTCGACCGCCATCTCCAACACCAGCATTTTCAGAGGGAGAAATGCTCGCTTCTGTAATGAATAGGTTGTGCAAACTTGAGGAGAAGGTTAATACTCTTCAAACAAAGCCATTTGTAATGCCCTGTGAGAAAGAAGAACTGCTGCATGCTGCTGTTTGTCGAGTGGAAGCCCTAGAAGCAGAGTTAATTGCAACAAAAAAGGTAGATTCTGTTTTAACCGTCTTTAATTTGCAACCAAAATCCATTCTTCTGTGACTACATAGATTCAGTACCGTTTTAATCTGCATCGTTGAGGATTTGGTTTTACCTAGAATTCCCTGTTATCCATGTCTTTGTAAAGGCACTTGAACTGATATTGGATTGGATTTTCACCTTGGCAGGCTCTGTACGAGGCTTTGATTAAGCAAGAGGAGCTGCTTGCTTATATAGACGGTCAACAAGAAGCCAGACTTCGGGTGAGTTAAATCAGTTCTTTGTTCTTGATATACAATAGAAGTTTCAACCTTTGAATTACGAGTAGTACTCTTTCTCAGACGTGCACGCGCCACTCACTTTGAAGTTAATCAGAACCTCCCTACAATTTATGAATCATAAAAATTTTGCACTCGCACACATTTTGTTATGCACATCTCTGTCTCAGTCGTGCACATAATTGTAAGCTAATGTCATTCACAGATAATCTGGTTTTGTTTTGGTGATATGCAGAAAAAGAAGTTTTGCTGGTAAGGTGTGAAGTATGGAGGTTCGACGTTCCAGGATGTGTTTGGCTGTGTTGACGTATAATAAATATCCACTATCATACCGCGGCTGTGTGAATTTCATTGATGTTGGATTTCTATCCTGTTTTGAGAAAGTGAATTGAGCTTGTTATAAGTTACAAATTACAGTTGTTTCTGAAATTACTGAAAGGATTTTTATAAGTGAGATTGAACTCTCCCTCTCCCCAACAGACTTTTATGGCGTGTTTCCTGAGATAAACTGACTGCCATCCATGAATTATGAACATATACATCCCTTTGTTTAATTGCTGGTTTCGTTCAAATCCTGAAAAGTAAGTCCTTGTTTGAGCCCATTCTTTTCGTAAGAAAGAATTTTTGAATAGTGTATTGATGAGAAATGTGTAATGAAAAATAAAGAAAAATTTTGGATTTACGTGTAATGTTATATTATTGAAGAATGTGTCATTGAAATGATGTCTAAACATTGTTTAAAAATGTATTTTTTTTTTTTTAAAGAATGAGACTCAAGTTGGGGCTAAATTGATGTTGCCTTGCTTTATTTTCTAGGAATTTTTCTTAGTGGGTTTTTTTTTTGTTAAAATGAAAATTTTGATTTTCTTATTAAAAAAATGCCATTGAGTCTGCAAAATATTTGTAATTTTGTTTTACCTAAATATTCTCTACAAAATGTCAATTCTAATCCCACAAGCAACTCAAATCAAGGCACAACATCCTGAACATTCCTTTTTATGTCTTACTATTGATTCTTATAAAATTACGACCTTGACAAAACAATACCTTTCATACTCGATGAACGTTGTTCGAACCAAGTAAGTATCAAATTGATTTTAATCCTTTTCCTATATTAAAATACCAACCAAATAGTAAATACACTACACGTAAGGTACACATGCCCTGATAAAAATCTTATTAAAATTTAAGTCAAAGTTACTGATTAAGCCCCTGTTTGTTTCCCATTTTTCCCTATTAAAATGAAAAAAAATGATCGTTATCCATCACGGGTCTATTTGGGAACAATTTTTTCTCCTAAAAATTGATTTTTTGATCGTTATTTCACTATTTCAACCGTCATATTCGACTTCTTCTCTCACAGGTGAACCCCACTTTTTTTATAACGGTTAAAAAATCAATTCTCAAAATCATTCCCAAACAGGCTCCACATCAAATCACCAAATTTGAATTTAGGGTGCGTTTGATTGCAAGTAGGAAAATTGCATGGAAAGAAAATATTTTCTAGGTAATTCAATTGCCTGGAAATTATTTACATGGAAAATGTTAATTACACATGTTTGATTGACTTAAATTTCAACCTAGAAAATGTTATAATTTTCCAACTTTAGGTGTTTGATAGCCATTATTTTTCATGGAAATTGTTATTTTTTCCAATTTTATCTGTTTGACAAGCACTATTTTCCATGGAAATTGTCACTTTTTCCATGGAAAATATTGGATTTTTTCCATGAAAATTTGTCAATGAATGTTCCATCTTTTAAATAAATTAAAGACATAAATTCGGCCAAATCCTAATCAATCCTAATTAATATAGCAGTTAATTTATGGATAAAAACATGCCAAGATTTGGTACGAAAGATGCATAAACACTGTCGAGATGAAATAATTATCCCTACCAATTCAGATTACTACCAGTTAAATATTCTTCTTTGCAATCAAAAATAATAATCAGATAATCAATTCAATAAATAATGATGAAATTTCGTCCAACGTATTACATAAAACGAAAATGAAAAAACCCGTAAAATCTCTATCATAAGAAAATAGGAAATAAAATCAACATAAATGTCATACTTTCACATATGTTTGTTGAATTATCCAAGCACGTGGTCTTAAAATAGTGGAGGCGGATCACAGCCCAGAATCTCAAATACTAAATCACGCATGAATTCTTCATCAGTCAAACTCATAAATACTCTAGCCAGACTCTCATCCGATCGAAAAATTTTCATTACTTGCATTATGTCACTCTTTTCTATACTCATGCCTTGTAATTTTTCTAGAACCAACTGCCAATTGATGTGGTTTAGTGTATCTAATGTCCCTCTACAAGCTTGCTTACTATAACTTTCAGCACAGTCTGATGAATTGAAAACTACAACTGATATGTCCTATCCAAGGAAAAAATTTAGATAAACTTGACAGCTTTTGTACTCTATTCTCTTGCAATAATTGTAATTTATTGTTGGCACAAAATCAATACTTGTTAAATTGCTATTTCTGCTGCTGTAAAATTCAACTAGCAGAATTTTTTAGCTAACGTGAGAAACATGTTAGTTCCTAAACATGTCAAATTATTGCGGTACTATATCTTCAATCTTTAAGCTGCTGTTAGAGAACCTATCATAATGATGCAGCGACCTCAATCCATGAATGGAAAGCACTTACATACTCCAAATGTTAGCTCATCTCTGCCTGGGACAGCTTTGGGTTGGTGTCCAACTAGTGCTGGAACTATGAAATCCAATGGGTTGGTCACAAGGAGTCTGAGCCCAAAAATTGTCAGTTCAAACCCGCTGTATAACCAACTTCATTACCAACCCCAAGAGCAATTTGGCTCCAGCAGTAGTGCAATGGATTCTCGAGGAACTATCTGAGGGAACAGTTTGTGGAATAAAGCAAGTACATCACCGAAGCTTTCTGCCGCTACTTTTCTTGGACTCTTCTCTGGTCTGGGCACCAACGGTGCTTCTGGATCGTCATCTCCAGTAGACTGGAACACAGGCAACTCAATGTCACAGTTAGATTACACTAACATAGACTGGAGTTTGGATCGTGGGTCTAGCTTGAGGCCCGGTGAGTTGTGGTCTGGCACACATTCTAACAGGTATTGCCTCATGGGTTCAGGCTTGTTTAACAGCTAGACGAGAAGATATTTTCTACGACATTTTACTTTCATCAAGGTATAGATCATTTTCTTCACTTGAATTCAGTTCATTAAATTTGTAATAGGTTTATATGTTTTGTAGGAAGGAAAACGAAGTTAAAACTTATACACTCTTCATCTGTTGATGTCAAATCCTAATCCCGATTTCTCTGGGCTTTATGTATCATAAAACAAACATGCAGGAGCTCTGTCCAACTCACAACTTTGCTAAATTCCCAAGAGAAAAATCCATGTATGTTCTCACATGTTCCTTTTCTACGTAAGCAACTTAGGGGAATAAGTAATACCAAATTTACGTTAGCTTTTCCATTTGCTATCTAAACTACCCAAACAAACTGTTCAGTTTTCAGGTTCCTTCAATTCAAACATTCTACTGAACAGGCTCAGCAAAACCATCAAGAAAATTAAAGGGAATTAGGTAAATCCCGAAGTTACTACTCAAACCAAGAATTATCTTAAACTTATCCACATTAAAATCCAGAATCATCAAAATTTAAGCTTCAGCTAACGTCAAAATAACAAATAATTCAAGAATACGAACAGATAATCAGATTTTTATCTAAAACGATAAAAGAAAAAAAAAACAAGCTCAGGTATAGATCCGAATACCATGGAAATTAAGATTCACGAGCAACAGAACGATGAAATCTGGATGTACCTTAGGAAATTTGGAAACCCAAGACAGAGAAAGCTTGCTGAGAGATAAGTATCTTCCAAAACGTATAAAATAATATTAATATCAAAAATCAGGTGGAGTGTTATGTTTAATTCTATCAGCAGCTCCACCTTACAGAACCCAAGTTCTCTCTCTCTATAATCCTCATAATGTGCGTTTGATAAATAATGACTCATACATCACAGAAATAGAATTGGGGGTGATTACAGATGAGAAAAATTCTGGAATTCATGTTCCAATACGTATCCAATCACGTGGAATCTCGAAATCCAAAAAAAAAAAACAGAAACAAAATTGGAATCTGCAAACTTGAAATAATGAGGACCCATGAAAAAACGAACCTAAAACATAGAGAATCGACAAAACTGAAGCATCAAGAATATGGGGGTTTGATTGTTAAATTAACCTCAATCTATGCAGTCACCGCCTCGTTGCCAACCTTTCGCACTGATTTCCCCGGAGGCAGATCGTCGATTCTTCTTCCTAGTTCGGTTGAATAGATGAGAGAGTGAGACGCCTTCCTGGTTCCTTTCAATCAATGAGAGCAGGTTGAATGGATGAGAGAGAGGCTACGTGGGTAGAGATGAAAGACAGAGAGAGAGATATTTACGTGGGTTGGTTAGGAAGGGTTAAATTCCATGGAAAATAAAATCCACCCTATCCCAAGGAATATATTTTCCTTGTTTTTAAGGAAAATGTGGTCACGTGACCAAAACAAGGAAATTATTTTCCTTGGAAAAAATTGTTAATCAAACAAGACAAAAGTAGGAAATTAGGTGGAAAAAACCCATTTTCCATGGAAAATGTGTGCAATCAAACGCACCCTTATATTTCTTATGGACCCATGACAACTATATTTTTATTCTTATTCTTACAAAAATAGGAAACAAATGCCCCCTAAATTTCACATTTTATGATAATCACAACTTTTCAATTATATATTTTATCCTTGTTTGAACCTTATTTTTTAAAATATACATGTAAACCTAATTTTTTTTTTTTTATAATTTTTGACCACACATTTCTAATCAATCTACTATTTCAAAATACTTTCTTTGTCTAAAATGGGGCTTAAACAAGGGCTTTATCAACTTTTATTAAAATTACTAAAAATCTTATTTTTATCTAAATAAAAAAGGGCATAAATAAATGATTTTTAAAAACTTGATTTTTAAACAATCAACTCTTCAATTAACATTTTTTTTGTTTTAAAAATTCAATATACTTATTTATTAATTTGTTTCTTGGCTTCTAAATGAGTCCATACGAGCAGGCAAAAAATTTGTACACAAAAATCAACTTGACTCGTGTGTGGGATGACCGAGTCCCATTTGACATCCCTAAATTTTAATTGTCAGTTTATAATATTTTTCAATCGTAAATATCTCATCAAATTACATTATTTTTGTTGGATACATAATGTCGTACAAATATTTTATATAATCTAGAAATATCTTAACCAGAATATTAGCTTTACCTTCTTAAAATTCATTTTGAGTATAGTTAGCTACACCTTTATTTGGTAAAAATACGAGAATTATGTAAAAAAAAAAAAAAAAAAAAAAAAGGGAAAATTAATACAAGACTCTCAAATCTTTCACATGGTGTAGTTAGGAGTTTTGAATTTTAAAAATTGACATTAGTCTCAGTTCATTTAAATTTGTCAATTTTGGTCCTTACAAATTGAAAACGTCAATAATATTGACGAAAAAAATTGTTTGTAGCTTTCAATCGTATTGAAAAATAACTGATTTTTTGATTTTGTCTTTCAATTTTAAGTCACTTGAAAGTTATATGCGATTTTATTAAAGTGATAAAACTTTTATGGTTGAGATCTCATGAATCATGACCATACCATGTCAAAAATCGAAAGTTAAAAGTTCTAGACGATGAAATTGATACATAATTGAAGTGAAATTCAATAATTAATTTTAACTACACATTTTAAAAAATACATTTCATTAACTGATATCAAAATTCGCTAAAATTTGTCATAAAATCTTTTCAAATAATCCCAAAGTATCCAAATTTTTCAGGAAAAAAAAAAGGGGGAAACGAAAATGGAAAAAAGGGATTTTTCTTTCAAAATTCAAAATCCCCAACCACCCCAAAAACCTAATAAACCTCGGCTGATATGTCCGTCCAATGTTACACTCGCTTAAGTCACTGTAGACTTTGACTGTTGTCAGTTGCCTTTTCTTCACTTTCCCCCAACAATGGCGGCTACAAACCTCGTCTCTCAAACCCCTACAACCCATCCCACAAAATCCCTGAAATCCCCATTTACTTGGTTTCCTATTAAACCCATTTCACCCTTCAAACTCAAGCCTACTTCAAGAATCGCCTCTCTGTGCATACGGGCAGTTCTGTCCCCTGCCGAGCACAAAACTCAGATTCTCCAGCACTGTTTCAAGAAATCTGAAGATGGGTATTTGTATTGTGAGGGAAATAAGGTTCAGGATGTTATGGAGGTTGTGGAAAAGAGGCCTTTTTATCTATACAGCAAACCGCAAATTACTAGAAATGTGGAGGCATATAAAGAGGCTTTGGAGGGTTTGAATTCTATAATTGGGTATGCCATTAAGGCTAATAATAATCTTAAGATTTTGGAGCATTTGAGAAAATTGGGATGTGGAGCTGTTTTAGTTAGTGGGAATGAGCTCAAATTGGCTCTCCATGCTGGTTTTGATCCGACAAGGTATTAAATTTATGCTATAGTTAATTTTTAAGTTTTAGTTAATAATTTGATTGTTTATCTTTTAATTGGTTTGAGTTTTTGATGAAGTAAATCTTCAAGATTTCACCTTTGTAATTCTTGATCTAGATAGAAATGTATTGCATTATGTGATATGTTGAATTGTTTTTATTTTTTCATTTTTGAAGGTGAGTTCTGGTGTATGTCTACATATTTAGTAATATTGTTTGTTCTAATTAGTAGTACATGGTGCAAGAACAATGTCAAATACCTTAAAGAGGAATTTTGTCAACATGTAATTTCGTTTAACATTCATTTGGTAGCCCAATAAAGTTTTGCATGTTTTATTGAAACTTCATTGAAAACATAATGTTAATTTTACAAATATAAATTTATATCATGGAGATCGAAATTTTTATTCATATAATTTCGATGTAGTCACTCCGAACCTTGTTTAGAAATCCAACCTCCGATAATTGCAACAAAAAAAAATTTGGGTTAGGGCATGAACAATTTCATTTAAGCTACCATGAGATAAACAGATTAATCATTATGAAGAAAGCAAATATGGTATGTGAACGTTTTTATCAAGAAAGAAAGAGACCAGCATAAACATCTTAAAGCCCAAGAGTTGCAAATGAGAAAACTCAACATAACATGTTAGGGGAACGTTTGGGAAGTGTTTATAAATGGTTATATTAAAAATAGATGGAAATGAGTGATGATAAACAGATAGTACTTATAGGTCTCCATAGATAAAAAAGCAATTTGAGTATTTATAAATCATTTATAACCATTAGCCAAACATAGGCTAAGAGTGTCAATGTATAAAAGTAGGATGATAAGCTCTAGAAATAAGTACTTACGGAAAACTGTAAGCATAATTGTGGAGTTGCACCAGAGGGATCTGATTTTTAAACTAGAAGCAACATCAAAGAAAACAGTCAGGCAAGTATTGTTGAGGCCACACATCTTCTGAGATGTAATATTACCATGCCCAATGACTGTGTTGGCTATAATAGTCCTTTCTATAAGGGTATTGGCTGATAATTTTCTGGCTAATAGCAGTTGACAAAACATGCTATCAAATTTCCAGCTATGTTGTAAGATGCCTGACAGGATTAGTTAGCAAATATTAGAAGAATTAACCTTCTCCAGTGATGTGCATAGCCCAATGATCCGTTGGATTTTAATGTCCTTTGAACAGTTGATCTCAAGTGTGCCCCTGGAAAGGAAAAATAGAATCACATTAGAAGAAGGAAATAACAGCCAATGTTTCGGAAGCGGACAAAAAAGGGAATACAGAAAATCATCTTGCTTAGCTATTTTTTTTGCTCCCCAATTTCTAAAACTCATTTTTCCTCAAACTTATTATCAATCACACATTTCATGGGAACCAGAACTTTTATCGACTTTTAAACTATACATTATATCAGTTTTTATCAAACTCTACTAAAAATATATTTTTTAGCTAAACCAGATAGGGGCTTGATCTGTTCTTTTATAGATTTCTAAATTGTCCCAAAATTTACAGCATTCAACTCCCATTTTATTGAGTAACAGTGTTTTTCAAATGGCAAGGTTGATTAAAAACTAATTCACATCCTCTACCTCCCCTTTTTCCTCGCTTCATATGTTATCATATAGTTTATGACTTACAGATCACTCAGCAGTGAAAGAGAAAATACTGACTAAGAAAGAAGAAAGAGTTCACAGTGCTCAATATCAAGGAACTCATTTGAATGAAAGCCCCAGGGATTGTTCTCTAATCTTCAAAATGAGTTGAATAAGTCCTAGGAAACATAGTAACAAAAAGTAGGTCCAGCAGTTCTTTCATCTGAAACCTTCATCCTTTGCTCTTACAGATCACTCAGCAGTGAAAGAGAAAATACTGACTAAGAAAGAAGAAAGAGTTCACAGTGCTCAATATCAAGGAACTCATTTGAATGAAAGCCCCAGGGATTGTTCTCCAATCTTCAAAATGAGTTGAATAAGTCCTAGGAAACATAGTAACAAAAAGTAGGTCCAGCAGTTCTTTCATCTGAAACCTTCATCTCAGAAATCCCTACCTGAAAATGTACTTTGCATTGTTGTGATTTTCTCCAAAAAAAGAAAGAAAGGATTTGGAAAGAGACCGTTTCATGTAAATGGAACTACTTCTGTCACTATTGTATTTTTCAATACAATGTCAAGTATTGCTCTCTACAAGATTCTTGACTTTGTAAACTCTGCCAACATTTTCTAAATATAATAACATGCTGCCAATTTTTCAATCAAAAGCAGTAACGCAATTGATGAGGATAAAGATAAGAATAAAGATAAAATATAGATAGTATTTAGATATTATTTTAAAAGTAGAGTTTGATTTAAAATATTTTTTTTAGATTCGATTAAATTATATTTAATATTTTGAGAAAGTTCTAGATTAGTAGATCTTTTGATATTAATTAGTTGCTTATATATAGAGGGCTCATTCATTGTAGTAGGTACTGTTGAATATATGATACTTTGATTTTCTCTTACCCTAATTCTTCTTCTTGGATCCCCCATTTCTTCTAGTTGTTCGTTGTCAAGTTGTTACGCTCCTGCATTAGAAATAGCGTCCTTTCAGATTTGCGCCTGCACACACATGCAAGTGGCTTTAAATGAGATAACATGGCTCCATGCACTAGGCCTACAGCCAGCTATTTTACACTTGATATATCTTGGGTTTCTTATTTTAATTTTGTTTGGGGGTGTGATGTACTGTAATGCTCTGTCAGCTTGAAAGGTGATCTATCAATATCTTATGACAGGTGTGTCTTCAATGGAAACGGAAAAATATTAGAAGATCTAGTCCTAGCTGCTCAAGAGGGTGTTTTTGTAAACATTGATAGTGAATTTGATCTGGAAAACATTGTAGCTGCAGCAAGAATTGCTGGGAAGAAAGTTAATGTTCTACTACG